ACAGTTGTAGGTGGAGAACCATCCTCAGAAACACCTGGAGAACAGTCGTATGTAGAAACTTGGGGAACATCAGGACAACAAACGCCGGCCTGTCTGCTTCGTGCGGCTCAGTGTCCAACAGAACCATTAATCCAGTGCCATACAAGCTCTGAATGAGTCGTTTTAAAGACCCGCAGTTCTTCTACCCAGTGTCCACAGCGACAGCTTTCACTCACATGCTGTTGTCATTCTGTCACGATGCTAACGCTGCTAGCTGGAAGCGCTAACGCTGCTAACATGCTAACTGTTAGCGTGTGCGGTCAGAACACCTTATGAACCCGCTGCAGCTGAGAAGGAGCAAGGATGGAACTGAACCAAAGAAGCCGGTCTACAGCCTGAACGATGTGCTCGGTTCCGGTTTGGCTGTTCGGTAACAAACTCAAATGGCGGCCGGGCCGTTGAAAAACTCACCAACAATCTGTCTCCGCAGCGAAGTTATCTATCTAGCTGTCATTAACTCGGTAGATTCTTGTGAAAATGTTTTCTCTGAAGAACCATGAACCTCCTCAGACTTTATTTAAATCTAAATTCACGGGATTGTTTGATTTTTGTCAGATTTTTGTCACTTTATCCTCCGACAGACTCCATTATGACGCTTCTTCAACTCGAACCTACCGCAAAGCATGCTGGGATATCGCACAATGGGCGGGAGAGCCGCATGTTGCCGCAAAGGATTCTGGAAAAGTGAGTTCTTCTTCTTCTTTGAGGTTTATTGGCGGTTGGCAAACAACGAAATTGGTGCATTACCGCCACCGACCGGTGAGGAGTGTGGACCAAAATGTCACTCAAGGATTAAATCCTCTTCAATAACTGTGTTGATTTAAGATAATGAAAGATTATCTGATAAATTTTACTATTAGAATTATTTCTGAATAAATCAATTAAATCCAGTTTTACTTTAATTTTATTTAAATTTTGAATCAGCTGTGGTCTTTCTTCCTCATACATTTTGCAGTGTGACATTACATGTTGTCTCATCTGCTCCACAGTACTCACATTTACCAGTCAGTGTTTCCTAAAATAAAGAGTGCTGTTTAATCCAGTACGCCCAAATCTGAGACGAGACATGTCTCTTCTCTCCTCGTCCTCCCTGGACTTCTCATGTCTCCAGTTTTCTTCTGGATTTTATAGAACCAGCGTCCTTTCTTTTCTTCCTCCCATAGCTTTTGCCATTTATCCTTCATTTTCTGTTTTATTAAAAGTTTTATTTCTGTTTTACTAAAATTAACTACTAACTCCACTGATGTATTTCTAGTGGCTTCCTTTGCAGCTTTATCTGCCATTTCATTTCCTGTAACACCATAATGAGCTGGTATCCATAAAAATGTATCATTAGACCCATCATATTTATTCTGTATAGTGTCTGTTGAATTTCTATTAAAACATCTGGCTGCTCTCTGAATGGTTACACTGGTAACTGACTAATGATGAACTGGAGTCTGAACAAATCACTGATCTCAATGGTCTTGTTTCTTCAACCCACTGAATGGTTCATAATATTGCGAGCATTTCCCCTGTGTACACTGAAAGTCCATCATTACTTCTTTTCCTAACTTTGATGTTGAACTCTGGAACAATGAAAGCTACACCGACTTTATTTACTAAGTTCTTGGAAGCATCTGTGTAAATTTGAACATAGCTGTAATATGTATCAATATGGTTCTGTACTGTATTTGAATTTAAACTGAACCCATTATTCTCATTTCTGTTTTCAATAATGTAAAATCTATCATGGCATCTGGAAGTATCCAAGGTGGTATTACTGGTAATGGAGTTGTTTGACTTGTATTGATCTGATCTATTTTGAGTTCTGTTGTTTTCTGATTCACAGTCAAACCAAAACTTCTGATATCTTTTACTTCTTTTTCCCAGCAAGGTTTAACTGTCTCTTGTGTTGGATGATCCTGTCCATGACCTCTCAGATTATTCCAGTAATTTAGAGTTAGTTGTTCTCTTCTAATTTTGAGTGGTATTTCTCCCATTTCTACCAGTAGTGATGATGTTGGGGTAGATCTCAGTGCACCTGTACACAGTCTCAACGCTTGATATTGAATACGGTCTAATTTTTGTAAAGTTGTATCTGCTGCTGAATTATAAACAATGCTTCCATAATCTAGTACTGATTAAATTAATCCTGTGTATATAGCCTTAAGTGCTTTCCCATCTGGCCCCCAGTCACTTCCAGTTAAACACCTCATGATATTTAACACCTTCTTGCATTTATCTAAAACTTTCTGTACGTGTATATTCCTTGTAATCCTCTCATCAAACCAGACCCCAAGAAATTTAAACTGCTTCACTTTTTCTAGTTCTTGGTTATATAACTTTAGTTTAACATCATCTCCAATGTTTTTCCTTGTAAACAACATTGTCTTAGTCTTTTCTACTGAAAATCTAAATCCCCACTTGTTTGACCATTTTTCAACTTTAGAAATAGCTTCTTGCATCTTTCTAGTAATAAACTCTAAGTTCCTTCCTCTCTTCCACGTTGCTCCGTCATCAGCAAAAAGAGAAAAACCCATCCCAGTATCTACAGTTTGAAACACATCATTTATCATTATTGTAAACAATAAAGGACTTATTATACACCCTTGTGGAGTTCCGTTTTCAGCAATGTGTTTTTCAGAATAATGGTTTCCTATCCTTACTTGTATTTGTCTCCTGGTAAGAAAATCTTTTATCCATCTGTACATCCGTCCTGTAATGCCTATATTTCTAATTTTAATTAATAAACCTTCTTTCCACATCATATCATACGCTTTTTCAATATCAAAAAACACTGCTACAATACTCTCTTTTTTAACTTGGGCCTTTCTGATTTCATATTCCAAACTTAAAACTGAATCCATGGTGTTTCTACCTCTCCTAAAACCACTTTGATATTGTGACATATATCCGTTTGATTGTATATAGTAAATCAACCTGTCATTAATCATTTTCTCCATTATTTTGCATATATTGGACGTTAATGCAATCGGTCTGTAATGTTCTGGGTTTGTGTCATCTTTGGCTTGTGTACTGGTATTATCACTGCTTCTTTCCATCCCTGTGGTAATTTTCCATTCTCCCAAACTTTATTATAAAGATCCAATAAAATGTCTTTAGAGGATTCACTAAGATGTTTCACCATTAAATAACAAATCTGATCTTTCCCAGGTGTTGTTAGCTTAAATTTCTGTAGGGCTCGATTTAGTTCTGATTTTGTAAAAGGAACATTTAATAGATCATTTCCATCCTCTACATGCTCCAAGATCTCTCTGTTCTCTATCATTGTCATTTCTCTTCCCCTTTTCCCTTCCAAAGTAATATTATCTGAACTATGTATTTTAGTAAAGGCCATCAGATCTGCCTTTTCTTCATCTTTTACTGCTGTAATTTGACCATTGCTTAATACTGGATAACCATATTCTCTTTTAATTCCATTCATTCTTCTTCTCATTGTCCATAATTTATTAATCCCAGTTTCTCTTCCGACTGAATTACAGAAATGCCTCCAATAATCCCAAAAAAGTTAAATCTGGTCCTCTGGACATTCAAAAAAACAAAAACAAAACAAAGCAAAAAAAATCTAGAAACGTTTCGTCTCTCATCCTGAGGACTTCCTCAGTCTGAGGTGCTGTATTCAGCTCAGTCTCTTAAATAGCACCTTCTCAGAGTGGATCAACCAGTTTTGCTGCTGACAACCAGAACCAGCTGATCACATGCTCAAGAAGGACCATCAGCCTAACAATGGATCATTAGCACCTGATGGCTGTTTACTGTTCACAGAGGACTGAGTGATACTAGCAATCACAGCATTGTAAGAGGGGGACAGTTGAACCTGGAGGCTCCACCCCTGTTTAATGATGGACGGTTTCTTTTCACAAAGATGGCCTCCTTTACTCCTCTCTCAAACCATCGTTCCTCTCTGTCCAGGATGTGAACATCTTCATCCCTGAAAGAGTGACCTCTGACCTGGAGATGAGTGTAGACCTCAGAGTCCTGGCCTGATGATGTTGATCTTCTGTGCTGGTCCATCCTTTTGGTCAGTGGCTGTTTAGTTTCCCCGATGTAAGACTGATCACCCTCCTGACACTGAACAACATACACAATATTACTCTGTTTGTGCCGGGGGACTGGATCTTTGGGATGAACCAGTCTTTAATGTATTTTGGGGTTTAAAAGCCACTGGGACGTTATGTTTAGAAAATAAACGTCTCAGTTTCTCTGATACTCCCTCAACATCTGGAATGACCACTGGTCTGGGTCTGGGTTCCTCCTTTTCACCTGATGGCTGACTGGAGTCCTGTTTGGGTTTCTTCTTTCAGGAAGGCCCAGTTAGGATATCCACATTGCTCTAGAGCCTGTCTTGTGTGAGATTTCTCCTTCTGCCTGGCTCCTGAGCTAGTGGGGATGCTGTCTGCTCTGTGGTACAGAGTCCTGATGACTCCTAACTTGTGCTCCAAAGGGTGATGGGAGTCAAACTGCAAATACTGGTCTGTGTGGGTGGGTTTGCGGTACACCTCAGTTTGCAAATGTCCTCTATCAGAGACTGAGACCTCACAGTCCAAGAAAGCCAACCTGCCATTTTTTACATCTTCTCGTGTGAACTTGATGTATTTATCCACAGAGTTGATGTGGTCAGTAAAATGTTGGACTTCCTGAGATTTGATTTTAACCCAGGTGTCGTCAACATACCTGAACCAATGACTTGGTGGTGTCCCTGAAAAGGACGTCAAGGCTCTCTTTTCTACCTCCTCCATGTACAGGTTGGCAACAATAGGAGAAACTGGAGACCCCATAGCACACCCATGTTTCTGCCTATAATATTGCTCCCCATATGTGAAGTAGGTTGACTGCAGGCACAGTTTCAAGAGTTGACACAGTGGTTCTGTGGAAAGCGTGGTCCTGCTGCTCAGAGTGGTGTCTGATTTTAATCTTAAACTGACCACCTCTACTGCATCATCAACAGGAATGCACGTAAAGAGTGATGTGACATCAAAAGAGACCATTGTTTCATCAGTCTCCATGATGACATCCCTCACCTTGTCCACAAAGTCCATGGTGTTCTGTATGTGGTGTTCTGAGCTGCCAACTAAAGGGATGAGTACAGACGCCAGATATTTGGAAACATTGTAAGTGACAGAGTTAATCATGCTAACAATAGGTCTTAAAGGTACACCTTGTTTGTGGATTTTAGGTAAACCATACAGACTAGGTGTGGTATCCCCTGGGTACAGTCTGTGGTACAGAAAATGGTCAATAGCCTTGTCCTGCTCCAAAATTTTCAGGCAATCTATTAACTTCTTCTTGTAACCACTTCCTGGATCTCTTTTCAGAGGTTCATAAGTGGTTAAGTCACTAAGGAGTGTCATAACTTTCTCATGATAGTCTTTCTGGTTCAAAATCACTGTGCACCTTCCTTTGTCTGCTGGGAGAATGATGATGTTTTTGTCCTTGCTAAGAGTGGTGAGTGCATCCCTCTCCTCTCTACTGATGTTGGAAGGTGGTGGTTTGGCATTGCTGAGGCAGGATGAAACTTTGATTCTGAGCTGTTCTGCTTCAGCCTCTTTCATTTTGTTGTTGCGGATGGCTGATTCTGTGGCTGTGATCATCTCCACCAGAGGAATTCTACTTTTT